TTTACATGTTGCTTGTGCGGTAGAACCACTTGATCTCCCTTATTTAAACGGAATGGGACTCTTAGTGCGGCTAGAACCTCAAAACTACTCTTTTGCACCTTCGGGACCTACTATTTTGCTACTCGGCGTACCGACGGACGAGGCCACAGTCCTCGTCCTCGTGCATCTTGCCCACATTCCAATAGACCCCACAAGATGAGGTAGGACCTTCGCGGCCTTCCGTGCCAGAAGACCCGGTAGGCTATACTTGATCGTCGCTTACGATGTGTCAAGAATAATTTACTGGCCTTTTTCGAGTCCTAAGGATTTGCATCACCCTATCTGTCTACTCCTTAGTGCTCGGCACTCACCTACCACTTGGAGAAGTTTTCTCAACCCTTTTTACCTTTTTTTCTTTAGTTTAGTTCTTTAGTTTTATTAACTTGCACCTCAATATCTTTTGCTCTTTGATATTGCTAGATTGGTACTCTCCCACATTGAGGACAATGTGTTATTTAAGTGTGGGGGAGGGATGGGATTATATATGCTTTGATTGCTATGATGTCCTGCTTTCATTTCAACTTACGAATTGCTATCGCCTTGTGACAATCTACTGTTGCTTTCCCTCACTTAAAGTCATGATTGGTCCCTTGCAAGTCCGCCACTATACATCGATTTGAATGTTTGAATCATTGTCATTCTCGGTTTGCTTTTAAAGATTTGAGATAATGCATATTATGGATAGAGAAATAGTCAAGCATAAAGCAACATGGGCAACATGGTTGAATTAACTTAAAATGTGCCTTCTTGATCGGTTATGATAGTTTCACCTAAAGAAAAGCATACAATTCAATGAGTTCTACAACCTTGTGAGTTTTGAGCCTTAAGATTGACTAAATACATGTCAATCCATGTTTTGTTGTTGTGTGATGCTCCTCTACTTAAGTATATCTCTAGAACTTGCCTTGAACCATTTTGAGATTGCATTGATGTGTACTTGCATAAAAATGATAAAGGCCTTATTTGTTTGAGCTAGTTTTAACTAAAAAGCTTACCACTTGCTTATATCCCTTGTAAACTCCTTGAGCCTTATACCCACATTACAAACTCCAGCCAAATATAATTTCCTCACCTAATCATAAATGCTAGCAAGGTTTTTAAGTCGACTACAATATCAAAAGAACACTTTTGAAGTAATCTCATACTTGGTAATTTCTGAAATTATTGGTATTCTTTTTTTTTAGCTACTGCCAAAAATTAATTCTGAACCTCTTATCTCATATTCAATTCATTCAAGTGAAAAAAAGAAGGAAGAACAAAGATAGGAGGCGATAGCTTTTCACACTAAAGAAAGGATTCTCGTAAAGATAAGTCAATGCTTGAAAAATGTTAGTTTTTACAACTCTATTTCATGAGTAATTGTCAAATTGCCTTGCTAATGTTTGTGATTTCTTAACCTACGTAACCTTACTTCATGCCTTAACCTTCGACCTCGTTACAACCTTTGAAAAGTCCTTTTGATTTATGCATGTAAATGTCGCAAGTAGTGGAGATTTGGTGTATTTGCAAGCTTATGGCATAATACTTGAGTAAATAGAAATTGAGCGAAACACTTTACCAAACAAACACTTGAGTGAATTGAGGGATAACTCGTGAGAGAATTTGTTGAATTGCCATGTTTACTTTAGGATGAAATTGTTGGGTTGATCTAGCATGCACATTCTATTGTGAAATTAGATTTGTGTTGTGTTGTGTTGCTCAAATCTTGGCTGAAACTACATCCATGGCATGTGTGATCTTGAATGTATTAAGGGAGAACTGATTGTGATATGCTTCTACATCTCGTTGAAAAGGCCATACTTGAGGACAAGTATGATCTAAGTGTGGGAGATTTGATAGCAGAGCAATTTATATGTTTGGACATCTCATTTAATCATATTTTATGGTTTGATATTGTCCCAAAGTGAAGTTTTAATTGCCTTTTTATCGTAGGTGCTAAATTACTGAAGTGGGAACAAATATGGTTAAGAAGGTTGTTTTGAAACTCTGCTTTGTGAATATAGCATGGGCGCGTCGGATATCGTGGGCGCGCGAGTGTAGAAGACAGTTTCAACTCACAACAGAAGAATGCGTGGGCATATAAAACTACGTAGGCACGCGAAAACCCGATCCCGACAGCGAAGTTCAATTAGGAAATAGATTTTGTGCGATCTTTCAGTTAAGGCGAGCGTTATCTTTAAGAAAAAGGAGATCGAATCATATTTTTTTGGCATAGTGGAGAGAGAAAAAGGGGCCTATAAATAGAATAGGAAGGTCGAGTGTAAAAGATACTAGGGGATGCACATATTCTCTCAATTTTGTAACCTTAAACAGGATTGTTCTTTCTTTTTATCCGAATATTTCGACCACCATGTTTAGGAGTAGGTAAACTACCTTTCCTTGGTGAAGGAGTAGAATCTTTTAGAAGGAAAAGGTTTTTGAGGTGCTTGTTTTTAATATTAATTCAAGTTTAATTCATTCAAGTATTGAACTCTCTTCTATACTTATTTATATGATTGTTTGGTTTATTTGCTAAAATGCATAATTAGTTTATAGGCTGAAACGATCTTAAGCTAGGTTAAATGTTAGATTCGTAATTGTTCAATCACTTTAACTCGATAGCAACTAGAAGTATATTGTTTCGTTGCGTCGGGAACTCATAACTTTTAGGGAGATTGTTCAACTTGATTAAATATAACTACATGTGTTATGTTGACTTGCTTTGTTGATCTTTCTAATACCTAAGGCTATTGTTTAATTAAATCTTATGATCGTATCTAGGGTTGTTAAACGATAAGGGCTTATTGGAATACATAAGGAAAGATTGGTTTAAATATCCCAATAAATATTTGAATGATTAACTGATACTTTTAGTGCATCGATGATAAATCTTAAATTCCAAAAGAGGATGTATCCCGAACCAAGGTTTGTTTTAGATTATTAATTCCGTTTAATTCAATTGTTGAAGTTTATATTTACGTCTTTAAATTTCAGAGTTGAAATCCTTCATAACCAAACCCTCCTATTTACTTTGTTGTTTTGGACATCCGTAATGACTAACGAATCGAGTTCCTCATGGGATTGATCCCTACTCTCCCTAGCTGTATTTATTTGTTGTTACAGGAGTTTAGGAGTTAATTTGGGTGCTCGTGATAGCACTACCACAACTTATGTTCATGTTCCGGATGAAGTCATAATCAAATTGGATGACAAGAGTGAGAAACTTGTTTTTATTGGTTATGATGCAAAGTCTAAAGGATACGAGGCTTTATAATCCAAGAACTCGGAGGATTGTTATTAGCCGTGACGTAAATTTTAATGAAGATGATTACTTGGAATTGGGAAAAGCAAGAGGATGATTACAATGTCTTCCTTTCTTTGAAGAAAATTCGGAACCAATCGAAGTCAATGAACAAGTTTATCACACCGCCCGCAACACCGGCTCCTCATACTGATTTGAGCCCTCATTCAAGCTCTTCGAGCACCACTAAGGAAGATGAGAAGTCTTCATGACATTTATACTCGAAATCGAGGAGATTAACAATTCCTCTCTTTATTGTCTTTTTACGGGTTACGAACCAATTAATTTTGAAGAAGCTACTCAAGAGGAAAGGTGGAGAATTGCTATGGATGAAGAAATGAATGCCATCCATAAGAACAAAACATGGGAATTGGCAACGCTTCCAATAAACAAGCAAGCCATTGGTGTTAGATGGATTTACAAAATCAAGAAAAATGAAAGAGGAGAAGTAGAAAAGTTCAAAGCTCGTCTCGTTGCCAAAGGTTTCGATCAACAACATGGAGTTGATTATGAAGAAGTCTTTGCTCTAGTTGCTCGATTAGAAACCATCGGATTGATCACGGCATTGGCGACTCAAAATAAATGGAGAATTTATCAAATGGACATCAAATCAGCCTTCTTGAATGGATATTTGGAAGAAGAGGTATATCCGCAATAACCTCCCGGCTATGTTATTAAAGGAGATGAAGACAAAGTTTTGAAGCTAAACAAGGCCTTGTACGGCTCGAAACAAGCACCAAGGGCTCGGTACAATCGCATTGATGAGTATTTCGGTCGAAGAAATTTGTTAAATGCCCACACGAATATGGCCTTTATGTGAAGAAAAATGAGAATGGTGATATGTTGATTGTGTGCTTGTATGTTGATGACTTGATATTTATAGGTACTAATTCAGCTATGTTTGATGAATTCAAGAAGGAGATGGCTATTGAATTTGAGATGACAGATTTGGGTTTGATTTTTATCTTGGAATTAAAGTGAAGCAAGTTGATGAAGGCATTTTTGTTTCTCAAAGCAATTATGCAAGGAAGATTTTGAAAGAGTTCAACATGGAGAATTGTCAATCAATCTCTACTTCGGTTGAATGTGGAACCAAGTTATCAAGGTTTGATGTAGCTGAAAAAGTAGATCCAACTTTGTATCGAAAGCTAGTTGGAAACTTGAGATTTCTAACATGTTCAAGACTCGATATCCTCTATGGTGTTGGTATTATCGGTCGTTATATGGAGGAACCAACTACCACTCATTTTAAAGGTCTGCTAAGAGGATCTTGAGATATGTTAAAGGTACTTTGGATTATGGCTTATTTTATTCATCTTTTGAGAACTATCATCCGGTTGTTTATAGCGATAGTGATTGGGGAGGAGATGTTGATGATCGGAAGAGTACCACAAGTTTCTTGTTCAATCTCGAAAATGCTGCATTCACTTGGAGTTCTAAAAAGTAACCGATTGTAACTCTCTCGACTTGTGAAGCCGGGTATGTTGCTGCTGCTTGCATGTGTTTGTCATGCTATTTGGCTAAGAAAATTGCTTGAGATGATGCAAATGTCACAAAGTGAAGCTACTGAAATTTTTGTTGATAACAAATTCGCCATAGCATTGGGAAAAAATCCAATTTTTCACGATAGAAGCAAGCATATAGATACAAGATTCCATTTCATAAGAGAGTGCGTTAGCAAGACGGAAGTGCAACTGAAGTATGTGAAGTCACAAGATCAAGTTGCTAATATATTGACAAAGCCTTCAAAGTTTGAAGATTTTGCTAGATTAAGAGCAAGTCTTGGTTTAACCAAAATTCAAGTTTAAGGGAGGATGTTAGTAGATAAACTTAAATTAATTATTATCATTATTAGTGGTATGTGATAAGTCTTGGTATTTTAAGAGTTTACGGTTATGTTCATGAATGGGATATCAAAAGTCTATCTTGGTGATTAAGATTTATGGCTATATATAGTGTATTTATCGTTACAAATAATATCAGTTTTCCTATCTTCTAAATTTCAGTCTATTATTCTTCTCTCTTGTGCCAACAGTCTTTGCCACTTCTGATTTGCAATAAGCTTGATCTACTATCTCTAAAGGATATGGTAGCTGATGCAACTAGTGTTGTAGCCCATAAGTTTGAATGGTGAAAGAGGCTTTGGAACAAGTGGATTCCCTAAAAAATAGGTATTTTTGTATGGAAACTCTTAAGAAATTTGGTGGTAGTAGAAGCAAATATAAAGGCATATGGCATATCTCTATTTTTCAAATGCCAATGTCATAGTGCTGTGAAAGAAGAAACAAGAGAACATTTGTTCTAGCATGGAGATGCTTCTTTATTGCTTTGGAGCTATTTTGGTAGCATACTATATTTTTATAGGAGCTGATAGGATAGCAGTTAGTTTCGGCTTTGTTCCCTAAAGGTAACATCTCCTCACAAAAAATTTTCTCTCGGGTACTAATCTGTAACTGTATTCTTTGGGAAATTTGGCTAGCTAGAAATAAATCTTTCTTTGATAACGAGAGAATGTATTGGCTACATATCAAACATAAAGTGCTTCACTAATTGTATGATCTCACTCATTTATTTTGTCCAAAGAAGGCAGCATCTTTTCATGATAGTATTTGCTTAGGAACTTTGGGCATCCATATACGGAATACTCCATTTCCTAAAGGGCAGTGGATTAAGCGATAGTTTCCTCCGATGGGTAAACTAAAGCTAAACGCAGAGGGAGCTTCTAGGAACAATCTCTGTAGTGGGGGTGGAATCATTCGTGATGATAGAGGAAACATGATAATGGCTTAATCTTGCTTTTATGGGATTGGAACAAACTTTGAAAGGGTTTGCCTTTCTAGAAGGTCTCTGTTTATGCAAGGCATATGATGTATCTTATCACATCATAAAAGCTGACTCTTCCTTGACTTTAGGGTGTCTCTCACTAGCTACTTCAAGTCCATGGTAGCTTACATAAATTTTGAGAAAATGTTGGCTTTAATTCAGCTCGGGAACGATTCTTCAGCATTGCTTTAGAGAAGGTAATATGGCTGCTGATAAACTTGCGGATGGGCATTTCAACACACTTCCAACAAGGTCATTTTTTCAACTACTAATTTACCACCTTCATGCAGATCTTCTAATTTGGATGACAGAATAGGACTATTCAATTATTGTCCTAAGTAATTCATTAGCATTCTGTTTAGGCCGTCAGTAACCTTTTTCTTTTCCTGTATATTTAGCCTTTGGTTTTACGATTCTAGTTTAATTTATTGGCTATAACTCTTCTTTAAGGGGGTTTAGGTAACCTTGTGCTCCCAATATGTTAGGCCAAGCTGGTTTTGTCCCTCTGTATTTTTTCACGTTATTTTAATATACTCTTAGGGTATTGTCCCACGTTATAAGAATAATTGTTTTTTTTTTTTAAAAAAATAAATTGGTATAATATATATCATTAATTCCTAGAATGTTTAAATGATAGTTGCATATATATAAAATATATAATTATTTTATAATATATTTTAAATAATTTATCTCAATTCACTAGATATGCTTAAGATGTATAAAAAAAAGTATTAAATCGTTGATTTTATAAAAAATTAACTATACATCTTCTAACATAATCCAAATTCTTTATTATGAATATTTTTTTAATATTATAGAACCAATTTATTTGAAATAAAATAATTAAAAAATATATTTTTTTAAAAGAACCAATCAATTATTCAAATACAATTTTTTATGCTAATTTTATTGATTATTTTGTGAATAAATATATATAGATCTAATGCATATACTTGAAAAAAAATAATCTTCTCACCAACAATAAATAAGAATAAAATTTTAATTTTTCATTGGTTTATTTTTATGCAAGTCTATACATTAATTATAACTTTATTTTTGGAATGCATTCTTATAAAAAAATATATAATTTTAATTTTTTTTTTGAATTCATATTTTAGGTTTAAATTATTACAAGTTTTTATTTTAGAATCCTTGAATAAAGAAGAATAATTATTTTTTTAAGTAGAAGTTTTATTAAAAACACATAAAAAATAAAATAATAACTAAATAAAAAAAATTATGGAAAAATTCTGAAGTTTTTCAATGATTTTATTCTATTTACCCGTAGCGTTGAGCGAATAATTTCAAAAATTAATCTTGTCATCATCATTAAATGAGATTTTTTTTTCATTTATTAATTTTTGTAAAAGTTTATCCATTAGTTATAACTTCATTTTTTTTGGAATACAATATTATAAAAATTATATTTTTAAATTTTTTTAAATTCTTGATTAATATTTTAGTTAAAATTATTATATTTTTTATTTTAAAATCAATCCATACAAATGAATGATTTATATTTTTTAAAGCAGAAAATTTATAAAAAAAATCATTAAATAAATAAATTAAATAAAATATTATAATTAAAAATTTTAAAATAAACTTTTTTCTATTAGATCGGCAGTGTAGCATGGACAAACGACTAGTTCCTTACTAAAACTGTCTCCGTGCAGCCTCCCTTAGTGGTCTCTTCTCCTTCTTTGCACACATCCTTTTGTTTAATATTAATTTGCAGAACGTATTCTTCTTCTATTATTATTATTTTACCTTTTATGTTGAAAACAATATTCGTTTATCTTCTTTCCTAAAAACCTGAGTCTCCCTCCCAATTTTTTTCCCCTATATTTTAATTAAATCTGATAGAAGATTGAAACACAAATATGAGCATCAATAAAAAAATAGCGATGTTTTTTCTTAAAAAAAAAAAAAAAAAAAAGTGTGAAATAAGGGATTAAAATTACGAAGTTGTACGTCCATCAAATGAAATCTTTCTTGCGGAGAGATTAGCAGACTGGTGGGACTACGAGTCCAACTGGATAGGTTGATTATTGAGGAGGCGAAAATGTACTTTGGTGGTTCCCATCACAAGGGAAAAAATAAAAAAAATAAAAAAATAAAATGAGAAATTACTATTTTAACATGGTTTTTTTTTTTTTATGTTTTTTTTTTTGGTTATAAATAAGATGTTCAAACTCGAAATCTTTTGGAAGAAATAAAAAAATAAATATGTTCCTTCTTTAAACAACTTAAAAATTTTACATTTTTATTGTTTATGAACATAGATTATTTTATGCGGATTTAGTGTATTGTATTTTTAGTTATATATATATATATATATATATATATATATATATATATATCAAGAAATAAAAAAAATTA